TGCGTCTTTTTAACGTTTATTTTTAATTAACCTAAAAATTTAGTTAATTGTTTAACTGTAAAGTGTTATATTAGGCTTTCGAAATGCAAGTTAAGTGGCATCTATAATGAAATTTTAAGGCGTAAAACTTAAGCTTTTTAAGTTTTAAGTAGTAGGAAATTGACCAATTATAGTCGATTATTCTCCTCACATTCACTTAAATTATATACGCTTTAAAATCTTATTATAGAAACCGCTTTAGTCAACCTTACTAATTGGAAAAATAATTGGACGTAGAAATTTAAATGCATCATTGTTAGCATCATCCCATAAAAGTCATCTACTCGTAAAGTTGATCGCGAAATATTACGTATTTAATACACATATACAAAAGGTGCTTCGAATTTAACTGATCAAACTTCGGGAATGTGTAGGAGGTGTAGGGAATCGATAAACTAAGAAAAAAAGTTTTTTTAGAAATATGCTCGTTTTTTTTTTCATTTTAGAAAAAAATCACAAAAAAATAAAATGTATAATAATAGTTTTCATTTTTGTACGTATTTATTACTCGTAGTCATACACAAAAACAATATTTCACTTTGGAATAATACTATTCCGAAAATTACGTTTTGTCTTTTTTGCGATTTTTTAAAACGAAGGAAAACAAGCATATCCCAGATAACATGCATGTTGCATAAGATATCAAAAAGCCATCATTTCGATACAAGACATCTAAAAGACGTCTTTTAGATATCTTATACAACATAAATATATGTTATCTAGGATTTGGAAAAGATTTTTTTCTCTTTATATATAGTTTATCGATTCTCTATATGATCCTGAAATTTGGCCAATTAAAAATAGTAACTTAATTATAGTGTTTTGGAAAGCTCTCGAGATGAGCTGTAAGAATGTGCAATGAGAAATAAGGGGTTCCATTTAAAAAATTAAAGGTGATCTTCACGTGATCTTCAGAGGACTATCCAAGGTCAAATCGATGGCACCATCTTATGTCCCCCTTCGAGTTAAAAAACTTTTGTCTGAAACATTTTTGTCTATTGGGTTTAGTTTTTGAGATATTTGACTGGATCATTTAAAATGGGACACCCTGTATATTGTGAATATAATAAATAGAAAAGCATTATTAATTAATTATCTGTACTATATTTTCTTAAAATATCCTGAAGCATTTCGTGATAAAATTTCCGTCTATTTTCTATTTAATCGGAACATCTTTTTTTAGCTCGCAATAGCTCATGAGGAGAAATAGATACGTGACATTCCATAGATAGGAAATGCTAATAATATTCATCGTATGCTATTTTCATTGTAGAATATCAAAAATAGCGTGCGCTTTACATTGTTGCTCTCACGAGTCTTCTTCCTTTATCTAATCTTCTCGGGTCATTACGCGGCAAGCGTAATCGATTTGTCCGGGGCTGTGCATCATCACGTTTTATGAAAAGATCAGTTGACGCAAGCCGTGTATCGGAGCCAAATAACAGCTTAGACGGCCAGACAGACAGACAACCGAGCGAGCGAGTGACTGCAAGCGCAATTAAGAGATCACATACCGATAAAGACTTGCGAAAAGACCAATTAAAATTAACATTCTTCAAATCAGCGAACCTCACTGGATATTTTAACAGTTATGCACTCGTTTCTCAAGTTGTTGAGGTTCTCTGCACCGACCACCCAAGTTCGTCGCTAAAGTGCTCGATCTCATATGGATTCGATTCGATTTAAATATGAAACAGACGGATTTATTTGGACTGCCATGCTACGGAAATACGTACAGAATGTCGACAGCAAGTAAGAAGACACAGACAAACTTAAAGTAGAGTACGATACGTGCAGCCTCTCGTACGAGAGACGAGCATCTTAGAGATACGATATTATCTCATCCTTTGAAGTCGGCATACTCTAACGTACGTTAATACGCGCGTGACTCGTCTTTGATCTCTGACCGAGTGAGTAATTAGATGCATCGAGCATGCACGAAATTGCGTACGGGTGCACTTGGTAAAAGCTACATATATGTGTAAAGACTTTTCTTTGCCGACAGCAGTGCAGTTCATGAACGCGTGTGCGTGCAGGCACGCATCTTCTCGTTCTTATATCTCGCCAAGAGTCTTATCAGATTCAACCGATTTATCGCCGTAGCCCTGCCATTTTGCATAACTTATATTTTTCGCGTAATCTGTCTGTCGAGAGATCTTCCGCAGACCTGGAATTAGCACCTTGGTTTCTTCGGAACAACACATGTTGTACGACACGAGGTATTGAACGCCGCACGTTTAAATTCGCCCGTCGGAGGTAGAATTAAATGAATCGTATAAGGCGTGGTGATCGGCGCAATTAGTTTTTACGATCTTCATTAGCGATGCGTAAGTTTTAATTATTATTCACAGAAAAGTATTCCGGGAGCAGAATATTCAATGGTAATTATTAAGTCCAAGTCGACCAAGTGCGTTAATCTCATTCTTCGGCCTCGTTCCATGTTTCGACTTATTAATGAAGCTTCTTTCACTTCTTTTGCTTTTACTTGAACGGCTTTAAGTATATACATATACGTTCGGTAAAGATGTACTTAATACACACATTTTTGCTAATTTTATTAATATTCAACTCTTTATAATCTCACAATTAAAGATGTGACTCTTTCTGCTACATCCTTTTATTCACAGCACGACATTTTACCGCCATACATATAAAAAAAGACGAATATGTTTTTCGAAGGAAATATTTCTCGTTTTATACATTCATGCAATGGATAATAATTTTATATCGATTGTGTGTGTAACACTTTCAAATATTTAATTTTAATTTTAATTTAATATTAATATAATTTTTTTATTTACACATTAATAATAATGAAACATGGTAGTTTTACTCGCACGTTGTTGTGGAACGAAATTATATTATATGACGAATTGCGTCCCTGCCCGCACACGTGGTACGCGATTGCGGTGGCGAAGGAGGCAGAAAAGGGGGGTTCGCGTAACGCAATTATCCGTATTAACATAGCCGGCCCGGTGGTCCGCATCCGCGGTAGCGTGGCGGGACGTGCGCAGGATCACTTTAAGGTAGTGTGCGATATCTCAAGAGGTAGTGCAAGGTAAAACGCGGCCGACACACAACCACGTTCCGTTCTCGCAACGATGCAATTTCGTCCTGAAGCGTATTATCCCCGCCAGAGCGCGACGGAAAATTGATAAAGTAGAGTGAAGACTACCTGCGCCAGCTAGCAAGGGGGTTGTGTAAGTTGCTTCTGAAAGATTGAAAGCCTCAGTACTCGTCGTAAATGATGCGCGTCCAACAATTGATATCCCCCAACACTCGTTGCTCCGTAACGCCAAATAACATCGACTGGGAATATTATTTTATTTAACGGATGAATGAATAACGGCGCAAACTTGTAACATCTCAAATAACATATAGCATTAATATCAATCTATCTTGGGAATTATATTTTTGGTTTAAGATATTTTTAAAATAGTAAATTTCAAGCTGCCAAAATAAAACGTCAATTTTTTCTTTTACTAATAACAAGTTTTTTTTTTTAAATAAAACTAATTACACTAATTTAATACGTAAGAAATTGTAGCTGAATTGAAATAAAAAAACTCTCATGAAGTCTGTCATATTTTATATCACATAAGTACTTCCACATATCCATCTCAAAAAGCTGATTGTAAAATAATTTTTGCAAAAATAAACACGTAAGGCGTGGCTAGCATAAACGGAAATAACGTGAACAGAGAACTAAAGACGTAAGAGAGGACAAGGAAGACACGAAGACGCTAAGAAAACAAGGAAGCAAACTGTTGGCAAGAGGTAGAATCCTTTAGGTTCGTTAAGCAAAGGAAGAACGCCTGGTATGTTCTTCGCGGCTCTTCCTCCTTCTCTCAGCATCTTCCATATCTTTACCTTGCCCTTTACTTCTCTTCTCTTCAGCATGAAGATCGAAGCCTGCTTTACGAGGCAGTCTTGTAAGTCGATCGTGATGCCTCGATAGTGCACGTACTTGCGAGTGTGTGTATGCTTGTGAGGCGTGTATAGAATATTATGGCGTGACATCGCGAACGTAAAATCGCCTCTTCCCCTCGAACAGTACTAACGAAAAAAAAAAAAAAATGATATAAAGGTGAATCGCGGTAAATCTCTACGAGCTGCCAGTTGTCGTCGTGCAGGGTGGTCCCCGTTTCAAAGATTTTTCTTTGCACGTGCTTGACAATGTCTACTTTTTAAAAAATATACGTCTTCTGTTATCCGGCTTTTATGCGACGCATTCGTTAGCTCTGCTATTGTAGTCGGAATAATCGCGAAAAAGTAATATATTCATTCACTCTACTAACTTTTATTTTGGTACATTATTAAAAATTTATTACACAAGGTTACTATAAGATGTAGAATTGGTACCACTTGAAGGATTAAGTAAATGTGCATTTTTTAATAACATCTACAAATAATTAAATAATAATCTTCTTTGCGCGCGGGTCTAATTATTGACATTTCGTGCTGTCAATTCGTAAACGGTGCTAAATTTTACTGATACTTGGAGGGACTTTTAAGAAAAATTCCGACGTCCGTGTCTAGGTCGTGTTGTCCTAGGTTGAATTATGAGTGTTGCTACCGATAACCATATAAGAAGAAAAAGAAAGTGTAGCTTTCGACACGCTCGATTCGGTAATTATGACACCTCGCGTCGACTTTTCGCACCTGCCACGTACCGGTTTCTCACCTCCCAGGTTGAGGATCGAAAGTCTATGATTATACAGGCACTATTGTAGTTGTTCATAATTTATCCACCTTATAAATATCTTGATTTTTGCCGAAAAAAATATTTTATTTAAAAAAGAGACTGAGATGGAATACTTACTATTAATGATTTTGATATGATCGAAAAATTTCAAGAACATTTGTGTAAAGCTGAGATGTTTGTAATAAAATCTTTCCAACACTTTCCTACAATGCTTTCGAGCTCACTTGGATAATTCGTGTCTCGTTATGTGTTGCAGATTTAGCGGAGACCAGTATGTTTCGACAAGAGGGGGTCACGACTTATTCTCAGCTGCTTTTCGACGTGGCGCGACAGCAAGTCGTTGTCGGAGCACGGTATGTATTTTCGTGCTGCAAGCTTGTCTTCAATTACCAAGTTAATCCTCTCGTTTCCAGGACAACTGTTGCTATATTAACGTCACTTAATTTAAAAAATTACATGAATATTTGTACAAAGTTACTCTTCGGTTATCTTGATTGGATATAAACAATATGTATATATACAGTCTGATGAAGTACATAGAATTCCAAAATTGTGCAAAATTAAATTTACTGTGTATTAGAAATGATATTTAAATAAAGAGACATCTCTCTCTCTCTAGTTTTATTTAAAGATAAATTTATTTGAAGGTAAATTGGAAAAATGAGGTCAAAATAATTTGTAAAGTGCACGCTCTTGAAATTGCACGTTTCGATATAATAATAAGAAATTGCTAACGAACTCGCTGCGGAAATTCAACCTTTCGTGATGAAATCGAAACTGCTACGAGTATTGCAGATGTTGGAACAACGATGAAGTCCTTAATCTGATAGTGGTATTTATTTTGCCAATAGTCTTTTCGATAATAACGAGTTTTAGAAAGCGTTTCGTTTCGAGATCAAAATTTAATGAGAAAATATTCTCGACCTTTAGTGGCTTTGATAAATATATTATCTCTCACTCATGAAAAAAAAAGTTCAATCATGCATGAAGTATCATATTTTGGTGCAATAATCACGATTTCACACTTCAGATTAACATATCAAAAACTAATAGAGCCTGTAGTCGATTGTTCTAAACGAGTTTGAAACTTGTAGCAACAACATCGAATCTTACAATCGTCTTTCAATGATCAGAATATTCTAATTATTTCAAATCTTATCTGCGCTTCACTTAGAATCAATTTCATCAACATTTTATAAGAGTATAATTATCTTTCTTTTAAAAGCGAATATTAGAAACGATGATAAGGTTTAATTATTGAATTTTACAATAGTATTATACGTTTTTTAACCGTGTCAATAAACACGAAAAATCGGATATCCTTTAAAGGCATAGAACTCGAGTTGAGGAACCTTTCAATTCAATCTTTTCACACAAAGACTGGAAATAAATGCGGAGCATGTGGCGAATGTAAATAAAGGCGAAGGGGTGAACGATTTCGCGAGACGAAAGCATTATAGGACGACGACGTGACGCTCTTTGGCGATGTCACAGACAGTTAGAGACCCGTGGAAGACGATAAACACGCTTGCTCCTTTCGTTCGCGACGCGCGGCGCGGCGCGGCGCGGCGGTTTCCAGCGAGATGTCCTGGCGGCCCGCCAAATTGGCTGACATACGGCGGTCTCTCCTCGAGGCGCCGATCCATTTTCACGACTTGCGCCAGACGAGCCGGCTCGGTTGATCTCCTCGTCTTGCAACGTGATTCACGAAAGAACTAAAGGAAAAAAATAACGGCGCGCCTCTCGTTGACGCTCTTTACGTCGGCGAATGGCCGCGCTTCGTTACGAAGTCGGTCGCTCGCCTACGTGCCGCTCATTAACCGAGGACTGCACCGAAAAAACCGAATCGCCGACTCATGCACGTAAGCATTACAAGTCCGATCGCGCAATGCCGTTTAAATTGCCAAGACTAATTGCTGCGACGAATTTTGCAATCTTCTTACTTAACTGTATTATCGCACCTTTTTACTATTCGATGACCTTAAGTTTATTTCGGGGACGCGATAAATTTCGGCAAGTCATCGAAATTGTCGTGTGGCAATTAAAATAATGATACGATATACAAAAAATATTTGTACAGAAGATTTTTAAAGGAAGCCTTATTTGTCGAAAATAAACACTAATTAGCAATTTATTAGTAATGAACATTCTAATTATTTCAAAGCTTATTTGCTCTACGTATAGGATTGGTTTTATTAATATTTTATAAGAGCTTTCCCCTTTAGAATCAAATTAGAAAAAAACTTACGAGTAATTTACGTTCTGCTGTAACATTAAAAGAGAACTTTGCGAAAATAATCATATTTATGATCTTACAACTAGAGAAGCTAAATTTCTCGACGTATAAATATATTTCTTGTGTGTCTAAATAATATAAGTTTTTTTTATTTTCGTTATTAAGATAATATATTTTAATTATTACACTACTTTAAATAAAATAGTTTAGAGAAATATATAATCTATTTTATTAGTTGTTAATAAACTGCTAATTGTACAATGTTTACTTTCTATAAATACAAGTTTTTTTAAACAATCTTTTCTACATATACAAATATTTTTTGCACTCACTATTTTCATTCTCGAAATGCTATACGTTTCATCCCTTATCCTTGAAATCTTAGTTGACAAAATAGCACACGAGGCACTATCGAGAAATAGCAGATGGATGTCGTCCCCGATTTTGCAATACTGCTTATTATATCTGATTAAATTACGCGCCGTGTGGAATATCGGATTTACAGCGAGGCGAGAGGGAATTACGACGACGAAATTGCTTCTGAAAATCATTGCCAGTGTAGTACGTGCTCTCGGTTAGGCAAATCGTATTTCGCGCGATTCATTTACTCACGGTGAGATCGAATAGCGCGGGCGCGAGACGTGCCTGCGCCGCGCCAGTCGCGCTCACGCTCGTTACAACTTACAACGCGTTAGCGCGAATCGTTCTTGCACAAAACTATGTTCGGAACGATTTATATGTGATATACAAATTATAGACTATCTCGCAAAGGCGAGACGAATGGCGCTTCCAGGGCGGTCGGGAACTTTTTTGCGGAACTTTCTCTAGCCGATAACCACTACTTCATTATAAGCAGGAAATAACGCTCGATATATTCGATGAAAAAAAGAAAGGAAACACACGAGAGAAAAAGGGAACATACGCGTTGAGTGGCGTGCATATCAAGTAGGCGATTACTCGTCTCATGAAATCGCGTCCTAAAACGTACCTATTAATTATATTTGTAAATACAACTTTTTAATGAACGACGAATGACCCGAGAATAGGACCGGAAAACGACCGGAAAACGACCAGTAATCTCTCTTACTGTTTTGCGAGCGATCGAGAACCAGTTTACGTAGAAGCTCCAATTAGTGAAATAATAATAGTTACGGGAACATTTACCGATTATCTCGATAGACAGCTTTGTCCAAGGAAACGCGCGAGGGAAAACATTGACATAGTGCGCTCTCGGACATTGGTGCCTCCAAGTATCTCACGTTCGCCAATCCATATGCCTGTAAGCTTAGTTACGAGATATCAATAATATCGATAAGGATGACTGGTTCCTCGGGACTTGACTGCTTATCTGCATCTCTCGACTGACAATAAGTTAAGTGGTTAATACGTGATCACTCCTGAGAACAAAAACGATGGAACGTAAAACTCGCAGTGCTTTCTTTAATTGAGGACGTTGATTTTTTTTTCCTTTAAATTTTTATTTATTTTTAAATATAATATGCAAGGTATGACAATATGATTTATAACTGTGTGCAAATGAAATGTTATCCCGAATTTTAATTTAAAATTTAAACGTTAAAAAGTATTTTAAAGAGTAAGAAAATTTCTGAGAACCAGAAGAGAACATAAATTTAAGATAATCACCGACCTGCCACGGTCAGATAGCAAGATGACATTTGAGCTGATCAATGGAGCTAAAATTAGCGTTATCGGTGTTGTTAACGTTGTGTACGACTGATGCTGGTCATGAAAAATGCGGTCCACCCACGCGAAGTAAATACGATCTTACATACGCGTGCACATACGGGTGTCGCGATATCTGGAGAGCTGGACCTGAGTCGAATAAACGAACGAACGATCGATCGGTCGATCGATCCGTGGAAAAGGAAATACGCCCCCGTACGCTTTCTATTAATAGAATGTCAGTTATTAACTGTTGCCCACGTTCGTAATCGCGTTCGTGCGGTTTCCAGCAAAGTGTCGGGTACGGAAAAAATATACGCGAAAATGCGCTTTTTGTGAACAGGTTATTATAGTGTTTCCCTTAATTTTAATAATTAATTAGCTTTAATTAATAACTAATTAGCTTCAAATTTTAATTTTCTAGAAATAAAAAAAGTTTAAAGTTTACTTGTAAATATAATATATAATATAATATCATTTTGAGCATTATAGAAATTTGAGATCTGAAAAAATGATAGACTTATATTTTATTTTCGCTTGAATCGTAGCGAATATATTACTGCTATTATACACATTATGTTCATATTTCTATCAAACTTTCTAAATGATGACATACTTCAATCTCTACATTCTATTTATTTAGCTTCCAAGCCTTTTCGTCTTGAAGTTGACGAATCATGTAATATACGAGTCTCACGCGGTGTCATCGCGACTCATGGCATAGTGGTTTCTCACCTGGATATTTCTTATATAGAGAGAAAATATTTTCGTGGCGTGAGTTTGTTTTGTCCGGACAGAACGACGACGACTTGGATGTATGGCGCGATGCAAATAAAAGTTTTTGGGTTTACGCGCGTGAGATTACTCGCCATAGTCGGTCGCAGGTGTTAGGAATTTCATACATCGCCACCAGCGTAGTCGTATCGTATTTACGATGTTGCTCCAAGTGTTCGAGGCACGCGATACTCTTCCATATCGCCAGTTCTCTCTGTCTGTCGTTTGTATATCGACTCTGCGATGAGAAACGTTCTCTCGAGTATTTTCCTTTCAGGATTTAACGAATTGCTTCATCTAGAATCTGCGACGCTTATTTCTGAATTATCTCTCTTTATGTATTTAATATTAGTTAATTTAACTCTCCATTTGAGTTTTTTTTGAGTCTCTTTTACAAACAAAATTTTACTTTCAAATTTCTCTGAAATAAAGGAGAACGAAGTTCGGATTATTCCTTTTTAAAGTATCTTGTTAAAAAAAAACTATTTGATATATAATGTATTATAATTAAAATGTTTAAAAATTATCACAAATTTGTTTACATTTTTGAATGTCTAGAATAGTAAAACAAACTTGAGCTGGGTGAAGGAAATAAAAATATTATTGTGTAGAAGAGAGGGTTAATTTTTAAATGCATTTTAAACGTGTTTTAAATGTAGG